TAGTATTGGCATATACTTTAAATTACGCTTCAGTTTTTACAAATAAATACAGAGTAGGCCATATTGCATAGGCATGTGCTTTCTGTCTGTGACACTCCCGTGACACCTGACATGTTTTCACAGTCATAGTAGGGATATCCATTTATGAAACAATTTCTCAATAAACTTAGGGCTGTTGTTCTTTATTGTATGTTTTGTGAATGTTAGCTTGTCTTATTTAACTCATCATTTCTGCACTGTCTCCTGGATGTTCTACTTTTCCAGGAGTTTTAGGCATTTTTAATTGATTTTTCTTTGCTGTTAAGAGATAAGTTCAAAACACAGTTTCCAAAGACTTCTCAATCCTAAATTTGAAAAATAGGAATAAGATGACACAGATCTTCTATGCAGGGAATTTCTTCATTTAAGAGGTGCTTAGAAATACACAACCATGCTTTTGCTGCTACAAGTTCAATTAAAATCCTCTAAAACCCATATATTGAAGCTAGCATATCCTGTGTTAGTATATTTAAAGATATGGCCTTTAAAGTTGTAATTAATGAGCACATATGTGTGGAAACCAAATCTTACGGACCTAGAAACCTTATAAAAGTCAAACAAACCAGCGAGCTTCTAAATGCAGAAAAGGCCACACGAGAACAGAACAAGAATGTTGTTACCCTAAGTCAAAGAAGGAGACCCTGGAAAATTATTCAGACAAAATAATATCTTTTAAAAATACTTTTACAAAGTTTTATTTTGAGAATTTCAGGCTTGTGCGAAATTAAATAGAATCTATTATCTCTCCATTTCCCTATTTTAACTCCCCGGTACCCTCAAACATTTCCCTTCCAAATGCAACTCCTTTTGCATTGTAATAGCATATTAAGTATAGTTAGTTCTGCCCATATATGCATACGTGTGGCACCATTCACTGACACATAGGAAACCTACCCATAATAGCTCCATATAGTGGTTTGAATAAGAATGGCCCCCATAGCTCATAGATACTTGGTCATCAGGGAGTGATGCTATTAGGAGATGGAGCCTTGTTGGAGGAAGTATGTCACTGTAGAAAGGCTTTGAAGTTTCAAAAGCCCCCACCCCAAAGTCTAGTGTCTCTCTCTCTCTTTTCCTGCTGCCTGCCGATCCAGATGTAGAACTCTCAGCTTCTCCAGTACCATGTCGGCCTGAACGCTGCCATGCTTCCTGCCATACTGATAATAGTCTGAAACTGAAAGCAAGCCTTAATCAAATGCTTTCCTTTATAAGAGTTGCTGTGGTCATGGTATCTCTTCACAGCAGTAGAATATTGAATAACACTCCATCCTTAGAAAAGAAGGTTCTCTGTACACCAAGTACCATCCACTGCCAATAACTCTTCAATAAACCATGGGCATAGAGACTGCCTACCACATGTATACTGGGAGTTTTCCTGGCTTAATCTAGTCAAGGCAGCCATAGCTGCTGTACATCCATGTGGGCCATAACCCAGTCATGTCCAGAAGGCAGAATATCAAAGTTCTCCTCCCTATCCTCCAGCTCTTCCATTCTTTCCACTTCTTTTTCTGTGAGGCTTGGTGGAGGTAGTGAATCTATGGTAGGGTATATATATTGGGCCCCTTTTTGGTGGAGTACTAAGTCTTTTATTCTCAGCACTTTGCAAAAGTAAGCATCTTCCTACTCACTACTGTCAATTCAAATAGAAGCTTATTTGACCAAGGTTGAAATCACAAGTATTAAAAAACAAACACATATGTTTAAAAGATAATTGGACAGCATAAACATTTAGCAAACCAACAATTAGGGACTATGAACTCATTCATAAGGATTACAGCTTTTCATAAGGATTACAGCATTTTAATCTTAGATTTCTAACTCCTGAATCTATAAAAAAAATAAGTTTTATACTTAAGCCACCCATTTTGCTTTTATTGTTATAAAAACTTAACCTAGTTGGAAAAAAAGCCTTGCAATACTCTAATGTAGACTTCCTGGAAAGCAAACTAATAGAATGGCTAAGGAGAATATTTATCTGTACATGTTCTCAGAAGGGTGCACCTAACTTTTATGTAATCTTTATATTCAACCAATCTAGCAAATATGAATATAAGAAGAGCTTGCTAGAAAATACTATGCATGTATAAAACACAGAAGAATTTGGACTGATCTTTATCTTTTGTGGAAATAATGTGTTAGAGTCTATTAATTGCAGTAATAATCTAACTGGAGGGTTCTAGAACATTTCATGCTTCTCCCTAAGCCTCTTGAAGTCAACCCTTTATACCTTCTAAATGACCGATAAATCTGTTTCACTGGATCTTGATATTTTGACCTTTTTCATTATTTCCCTCATCAATACAGGAATTATATCAGCTAGAACTAACATATTCCTATAGAATAAGTTATATTTTTTTGATATTAAATTTAGTTCCAAAAGAAAACACATCTACTGTTGATGATGAAACAGATCAACTGCTTTTCTATATGTTCAAGGCTGAAGACGGATATATAGATCAGACAGCAGTGATGGTCATCAACTTCTCCAGCAGTAGTAGCCACTAAAAGGAAACACTTTGAATTTTATGTCATATGCACTTAAGAATGATATTTGATAATATCCTTATTGTAAAACATTTTTTGTTGTTTTAGTTATATGGCAATTATTGTGTTGGAAGTTACTCTGAAATTTCATATTTGAAAAATCTTTCCCTTTAAGAGCTGTTGATTGTACATAATAGAGAAAGAAAATTGCTTAAGCATGAAACACATTATCAAAAGAGGCTCCAAATATCTAACAGTAACACATCCCAGGGCTGAACAACCCTAACAGTCAAAATGACCTACGTAATGTAGCACACCCTTTCTACTGTAATTGGGAGACATTCTCTCTTCTTTTGTCCTCATTGAGCAGAAAGAACAGAACAGCCACTCATCATTTCCAGCCTCCCATTTCTTTGGCAACTATACTCTATGTCATCAAAGTTTATAAACTTGTAGTTACCCAAGGATGTATAATCTCTTGTATAGTTAGGTCAGTATGTGTATGCTGTTGTATACTGATATCTACATTACTTATAATACTTCATAAATATAAATCCTGTTTAAATAGTCATCGAAATCTATTTGTAAGAGACTAATAAAAAGTAAAAGTCATTGCAGGTACAGTACAGATGTAATTTTATTCTTTGTGTATTTTCCATTTGTATTTGGTTGATACAGTAAAACAACAAGTTGTACTTTTAATAACAAAACAAAGTTATTCCATAATGACACCACTACTTCTGGACAAACTACTTTTAGGATGCTACAGAAAGTAACTCCTGTCTAATGATGTAAAAACATCACTGACCATAAAAATTATTGTGATGTTATTTACTGAAACATTGAGAATAAATTAATGACATATGCAAAGTGATTGCATGTGAAAAGAATCATACAAGTTGAGAATCAGACATGAAAATAAATAATGCTTGCATGCTTCCCTAACCACTTGGATACATGAGGTTTTTTTTTCAGTAAGAAAATTTTTTCATTCATTTTACACACCAAACAAAGATCCCCCTCTTCCCTCTGTCTGCCTCCCCAGCCTCCCCCTCCCAACCCATTCCCACTCCCCCTCTCACAAGAAATCAAGGCCTCCCATGGGGAGGCACATCCAGTAGAGGCAAGTCCATGCACTTCCCCCTGCCTCAAGGCTGCAGGAGGTGTCCCATCATGGGCAGTGGGCTGCAAAAAGCCTTCTCATGATCCTACCACCGGGGGATCCCCCAAGCAGATCAGGCTACACAACTGTCTCACCATGCAGAGGAACAACATTCTTAAAGTTTTCATGGAAAAGTAATTACAAAACTTCCCCTGGAGTTTAAAGCAATGAAATTTACATTCAGAAAACTCTCCTTACATCTAAATTAAAATATTTAGCAGTAATTAGAGAAAACCGTTTCAAGTTTTACATTCTGCTCAGCCTATAAATCTGTGATTTAAGTTTTGTTTTAATAACAAAACAAAACAAACAAGCAAAAACTACTATGCAATTTAGAAAAGAGTCTTAGGCGAGTTGTTTCAATGTGAGTCAGATCATATTTCATTCTATTTTGAGGTTATTTGTATCAACGGTGCCCATGAGCTGTGGTAGAATTGACCTTTCTTACCTGTCTTATTTCTTTTTTCTCTCAATTTTCACACTCTCATTCTCATTTACTTCCTAAAGCAGTTGTTAAATAATGACTGTATACTTACTATCCAGGTTTAGAACAATGGACTTCACTCTATTCAAGAAAATTTCATGTATATTATCTCTTTAACCCTTTACAATATTTGCATTAGGGAAGAAATATGTGAACCACACAATCATATTTGGTTGAACTCAATTTAGTTTGCATGTATGGTGGTATGATTTCATATTACACTATTTCTTTTTAAGTCATTGTGAAATTGCATGCTGGTCTGAAATATAAAATTGGTTGTTGTTCTTACCAGACATACTCTGTACCCTAATTGACTTTCCTGGGAGTGATGGAATTGCAGCATTTTAAAAATGCATTACTATGAGAGAAAACCACACTTGCTTCTTGAGCTAACTTCGTTGTGAATTGTGCTATATGTGTAGTCCCTATAGATTTTAAAATTCTATATTCTATCATTTAAGAATAAAGGCTTTTGATTGCATATGCTTCCAACGATGTCTGCTTTCTTTGATAGCCTCTGAAGCTGTGATATTTCTGTCCTAGTCTGCACAAATATACTAGAGGTGAAAAATTATTATACCTGAAAATTATAAAAATTATCATATGATGTTTATAAATGGTCATATATATGTTATTGTTTGTTTACCTGCAGTGTAGATATTGAATGCTTCTATATATAGAATTCTCTTTTGCTGTAATTTTTCAGGTAATATTTGTTATCAAAAGTAGATAAATATGAAACTTCTTGTGTGTTTTGTACATACAACGTATTGTGTGTGAATCCTGTTTGTGTGTATATCTTCTGAATGAACATCCTTCATTTCGTTGTAGGATACAGGTCCGATTACAGCTGTTTGTGCCTAGAATTCCATCACTTTCCAGGTGAAATAACACAATTACATGAATATCTGCCAGTGGAAGATAGTAAATGTCCTGCCTGATGGTTTGGGAAAGCAATAGCAAGAATCCAAGCAACTGCTACAGTGTTTATGAAGCCCCCACCAGAGATATTTGCTACCTGGCCAACAGAGCCCTGTGGTGGTAAGCCTGTATGTACCCCTAAGACCATTCAAAGTTAGACAACATGTTTTATTTGACTCTTCTTTTGTACAGTATGCCTCACCATCTATTTAAATAAACATCAGTCTTGAATAACACCCTTGATTTTGTCAGTCATAACAGGCAATAACAGAATTATGCATTCTATGAAAATTGTATGCATAATTTTGAAAGCAAAGGTACCAGAGATGTTAGAACAAAGGACTTCTTCGTCACTCTTTTCTCTTACCTCCAAGAAGATTGTCTTTTGTCCTTTAAAACTATAGGAGGTACTCTGAATAATAATGTGAGAGGACCGTGTGCAATCCCCCAGTACTATATTCTCTTCGTGATAAATACCTACTCTTTACTTTTAAGAAGATTTAGACAATTCAGTTCGTCCTTAGCCTTAGGTTGTGCAGAAAGTTAGCACAGTATTTTAATACCCATGCCTCCTCTTTGCCTGTTAGCTATTATTAATCCCTAATGCCTAGAATTGCATAAATTTCGCCTACAAAGGAAGCCCACAGGTCGTTTTTATTTGGAGCACTTTTCTTATATGCACCACAATATATTCTGTTATGTATTACCTCGTCTGAATGCAAAACTGTTTTATATGCAGATTTAAGGTAATGAGCACTCAAGTTTAAAAAATGGCTCTGGTATCCTGTAGCTTCTCAATAATAATATACTCTTACATTCCAACAGAGAAGGATGGATTATGGGTTTTTCAATTTGCATCAGGCATATTAATTGCAGAGTAGGGCTTCCACATAAAATATCAATGTACTGGAACAAACTGTTAATGTACCAGAATATGAACACTTACATTCATTTCTGGAGCTTTAAAAGGAATCATCGTCCACCATCACCCCCCTGTTTTTTCTTTTTTTTTTTTCCTTCTATACCTCTGGAGATGGTACTGTGTTTTAGTCAGTTAATGAGAACTATGTAACCACTGTTTCTCCAAAAATTCCTAATTAGATTAAGTGTGATAGGGCTTTGTGACTCATTTCTTCTAGGGAACAATACAATAAGCTATTAGGGAAAGGAAAAAAATTTAGAGGGTTTGGAAGAAACTTATTTTAGGGTTGCTTTTAAGAAACATGGCATGGAAGATCAACTTTATGCTGCAGTTGGAGGCAGAGAAGAACACTCCACTTTATTTGCATTATAGTTCTCAACTGTGAGGAGGATGCCTAAACTAGTAAAACTGTAATTGAAAGTTTCATAAGTAATTTTTATCTGAGCTTTTGCACTGTAAACTTAATTGTAGAAAAGAATGTATTATGGTTATTTGTTTCATGGAAGTATTTAAATTATATATTCTCTTGGAAGCATCAAATTGTGACTGTCCATTTTACAAAAGAAAGATTGCAATAAATGAACATATTTTGCATTGTTATACATCTTACTGATTTGCAGATTAATATAAACTATAATACTTTGGTTGCAGTAGAATATGGACCTCATTTGTAAAGTATATTCTCTTTGTTCTATAATGATGACTTTTCCTTTATTGCAACAAAGGAGCAGCTAAAAGAAAAACACATTTAATAAGGCTAACTGTTTTAGGTTATTTTTTTTTCTGGAGTCCATACCCAATGAAGAAATTATTTTTAATTGGTAATATTTATCGACTGTAAGTCTCATCTGTTCGTTTTTAATTGTGATTTTCTTCACATTTGTATTTCAGTTCACTTTATTTTGATGCTTAATCATAGCTGTGGTTTTTGTTAGCTACAAGCAGTAGTAGAATGGGGACCTACTTTTCAAAACTGTTCTGAGAAAAGAGAGAATTTGAACTCGCATATCACAGCTATAAGCAATGCATTATCTCACCAGGGACAGAAGAAATATTATCCACAAAATGCAACAGGAGACTTGATTCATTTTGTGTCTGGAGTGATCCATGCAGTGGCACCTCCTGAAATGAGTTTCCTTTTCAATCTCCAGGTGAAAAAGGAGTGAGAATACCTTGCTTCCATCATCAGTGAAAATGTTATTTTTAACCTTTTACTGTGAAAAAAGTAATGTTTGTGTGTGAGTATGTGAGTGTGTGTGTGTGTGTGTGTGTGTGTGTGTGTGTGTGTGTGTGTATGGTGTGTGCATGCATGCTTCATTTTGCAATAGTTGCTTTGAATACAAAATGTGTCATGGGTCAAAAAAAAAAGATTGAGTTTTCTCAGCATTTAAACATGGCTTAATCTATGACAAAAGTAATTTGATAATTGTTGTTTTCTAATTTGGTAAGGGCGGCATAGAAGTTCCTTTGCTGTATCATGCTTGCAGACAAAGAGGCAGAAACACATACTCTGTCAGAGAACATGGGCAGTGACTGGAACAGAAGCTTTCTCTGCCTGTGTTAGGGACTAGCATTTTAAACAGGGCTGCAAGTGGGCTAGTCTGCTTTGATTTACTTTTGGTAGGTGCATTTTGAATTTCAGGAATTTGATTTTCAGGAAAAAGCCCAATAGAATGTAGCAACTGTTGTACTTCTGGATGGTTCTTACAGATGAATGTCTTTTGTCTTCAGATGTTTCCTTCTCTGATTGTAATGCTGCATAGTGCAAGACACTGCCTTTTCATATCATGCTCATAGACAGGGAGGAGCTTCAAGTCTCTCATTCTGCAAATCTGTTACTGAATTTCACCAAATAAAAAGGTGTAACATTTCCAGAATTTGCCTGCTGTGGTAAACATATGAGAAAAATGTAATGCTTATAAAATTGATGTAGCAGTAATGTGAAAATTTATGAACTTTTTAAATTTAGTAAAAATTCCTCTTGGATTATAAAGGGCCATTTTAGAAGTAGTGATTTCACTCACCTGCCTCTCGTCCTAAAGCATCTACCTTTTATTTGCATATGTAAAAGCAGAATACGAATTAATCTCAGTTCAAACTGATTTCAACTGCATTCAGGAAACTACAATGTTCCTTACATACTGATGTCATATTTTTTTGGCTTCAAAAGCGGTTGATTTTTGGTTGTAGTTTTTATTTTATTTTTTCTTTTTACATTCTTGGGAAGAGAGAAAATTAATCTCTTCAACTTTGTTGGCAAATTACATTGATGAATGCATTCTGACAGGAAGCTTTCCTGAAATGAAAAGGACTCCTGTGTAAGGGTGGGAATAACTATTCTAAGAGCCTTTTATGGTGCCGTTGCCAGGGAAACCACGGCTTTGTCTGTACGTGTTTGGAATGGCTGCCTCCTTAGAACGAGGCTTCCAGATAGTCACTGTGTGATGTTGATGAAATGAAAAGAATGAACCTATTTTAGGGGATTAACTTCAAATTAAGAAAGATAGCACATTTAGAAGACAGAATTTTTAAAAGAGTAAACATAAAGAATTATGATGAAATTGAAGTCAGTGTTGATTTGGCCTATTCAGTAGGGAATGATGGGAAAAACATGTTCATCTTTTCACATCCTTTTTCACCTATTTACATGTTCATGGAGGAGTAAGCAAATAGAATATTATATGTAAGTTCTACCAAATAAGCTTGAAGATGAGGGATACTGATATTTGTACAAATATTCGAGGTTTCTGTTATCGGCAGCCCTGTTGTTCTCTTACAATGACTGTAAATCACAATGAAATGCTGTAACTGCAATACTATCAGAGCAGACAAAATGTATTGACTCTTGAGATAAAAAAAAAAGAAAAGAAAAGAAAAGAAAAGAAAAGAAAAAAACCAGGGAGAAGCTATGTTGGAGCAATTTTCATTCTTTCCTAAAACAAAGGAATGTCATACTCTGAAATCATGCAAAGCAATATTAACAGCAAAGAGGATGATGTGCTTTGTTGTACTAAATTTAATTTGTGTGTATAGAAATGTGAACACGTGTGGTTGCACAAGTGTGTGTAGATGCATGTTGTGGGAGTGCTTGTAGAGCCCAGAGGTCAACCTCAGGTATCCTTCTGCAGATGCTGTTTAGTTACTTTTGTCATGGACAGATTCTCCCATTTGGCTTGGAATGTACTGATTATACTGGGCTAGCCAGTGAGTTCTGCCTGCCCCTGCATCCCTGGTCCTGGGACAACTAATACACCTAATTCATAGTTTTGTAACATGGATTCTGATGATCACATTCAGGCACTTGTGCTTCTGTGGCAAGTACTTTGTCAACCGAGTCATCTTTTGAGCCCTAAAATATTCCTTTGAAAAGCACAGCAAGCAGGCCTTAAAGTAGCTCGAATGAAAGAAACTCAGACAAACTTCCAATGTAGTGTTATTCCTTTTTTCTTTTTATTTCAAATAAGATATCCTCTGAAAATTTCTTACCATTGAACACTTTGTTTTTGACTCACTATGGACAGGGAGGAGGTTCACCAACTCTTCACCAACAGTAGATGTTCTGTAAATTTTTGTTCTAACATTCTATGCAAGAATATACAAAAATACTAGAATATAAAAGACATCCTTATGTAATGACTCATATTAAAAATTAATGGATATATATAATTTTCAGAAATATCTTCAGAAAAAATTTAAATTATCATTCAAATGAGTCAGTTTCAATTAAACTGGCACTGACCAATTTATGTGTGCAGTGTAGTCAGGAAGAGAAACATTAGAATAATATCCCAGTCTTTGCAAGTTAGTCTTAAAGATACATTTTTCAGATGATTTCATTTCATACATATTTGTCTTAAAATCCTTTTAGATGGTAAAAGGATGTATTAAGTGATATATTACAAAAGTAAAACATAGTGTATGTTTTACATACCTATTGAATTGAACAAAAAGTGAGTTCAAAGTTCTACATTACTCTTAGGATGCGTAAGTCACTGTGTGGAAGTAGCATTTTTCGCTGAGATTAGAACTCCCTTCAATGGTTCTCATTCTCCCCGGTACATACACAGCATCTAAGGAGCCTTAAGAAATCTAAACTCTGAGTTCTGATTCACAATTTGTATTTCACTGAAATTGTTCTGATTTCACAACATTTGGAGACCATCACAGAAAGTTCACTCATTCTTTAAAATTGTCCTGAGCATTATA